CTATTAACTGTGTATGTATGTATATATATATATGTATGTATGTATACTTGTTAGCATGGAAAGCAGCCTTTTTTGAGGGGTGTATGCCAACTAGTAAGAAGCCCAGGCCACCAGGAATCGTGGTACTCGTTGTAAAGCTGTTTCTACTTTCAGATTATAGGGTTTAGGGGTTTGGGTTTAGGGTTTAGGGTCTAGAGATTATACGACTGCCTGAAGGACCAACTGGCCCCAAAAATATGTGCAGCCCTATATAAGCCTTTTTAGGGACATGACTCATGAAACCATTTAGGACACATGTGTTCGGTCGCGGCCTGGTACTGGGGACCCTAAACCCTAAACCGGATAAATCCTGAACCTCCCACCCCGAAACCCTAAACCCTAAACCCTAACCCTAAGCTTGATAAATCCTTAAGCTTCTCGCCAGACAGACTGACAGACTCTAAACCCTCCAACCCTTTCAACCCTGCAGCAACTCCTGAAGCCCTAGACCTAAACCCTGAAATCCAGACCCCAACCCTTCGAGCTCTATGCAAGCCGAAATGGCGCAAGGTGTTTACGATTTTGGCCATCCGAGCCTCCGAGATGACATGCCACCTCGTGGCTTCTGAGCATACACTCTTGGGTTCAGGGTTTAGGGGCTGGAGAGAGAATAGGCTTTTGGGTGTTTAGAACTTGTAAAAGTCAGCAGGGAGGTTTAAATCATGAACCAGTGCGCGTATTCCCATGCAGTCCCTGCACATGCATGTTGTTAATCTTTTACATGTAGCAGTATAACATGTGCTGACATGAGTCACTTCGAAACCTTTACATATGTGTAAAAACAGGCCTGCGTATGTCTATGTGTATATATGTATAGTCAGTCTGCCCCTTTCATGTCTTGTTCAGACCGGAACGGGTTAACTGTGAACTGCTTACATTGTTGTTCTGCTGTTGGCATTTTCGTGGTTGATCCAGGCTATATGGTATGTACGTACACACACACACAGATATATATATATATATCCATACATGCATGCATGCATGCATGCATACATACATGCATGCATGCATACATACATACATACATACATACATATTCATTTGTACATACGCACACAACACTCTCGCGGAATTGCCACCAAAGGTGGCAAGCGCGGCTAGCAGAATCTTCAGTCTTGCATGCTTAGCAGCAAGGGCTTCTCTGCTTCCGTTTCTTGAACAACTCAGCGCTGCCAAAGGCACAGCGGCCGCTGTCAAAATCACCGGTCCGCACCCCGCACCGCTGTTCTGGGACCCAAGGAGATTGAACTTGTCGCCCTCACAGCCTCACAGCCCCTCTCTTTTCAGCATAGCCATGCATTCACTGTGACAGCTGAGATCACCAAACAGTGTCAAGAGCACCAAGACTAGGATGATTACCACGTACGACCACCGGACCGCGACGACACAGACGAATTATCAACCCCAAACCCTATAGCCTAGACCCTAGCTGGACCCCAAATAACCTACCAGGGATCCTTATGATGAGTTCTTTCTTTAAGTCCTTAAATAGGTTCAGGTTATTTGGGGTTCAGCCATACCTTAAATCACCACCAGGACCACCATCCTTAGCCTAAGTGGACACAGGCCTCGCCTGGAAAGCCCGAGTCGGAGCGAAACATGAAAAACTTAAGAAATTGGCCTTAATAATTACCTATACTTCTTTGGAGATTCCTTCTTCTACTTATAGTATAACATACTCCAAAACCCTATTCTAGTGATTCAGGCCCCTACATTAACCCGCAAACCCTGAACCCCTCCTCGAACTCTCCAGAGTCGGCCTATGAATTCTTGTAGTCTGACTGAAGGAACCCAGGTTTTCCAGCGTGTAAACTACCAGCTGTACTAGGTCGCATATAGAGTTACCTGGCACCCACTTACCGGGCCCCTCTGGGGGGCAATCTTCGTAGTGAGTGTGGATGCCCCTTGAAGTGCAAGTGTTTGATGCAATCCCCACTGAAAGAACGGTTTCAGATCCAATCTACTACGCACCAAGAGCCTCGCCTGAAGGAAACCTTCCAGGATCCTGTGCAGACTCCCTTAACGGTACTCTAGGGTTCTACAATAGGGTTCCCTATGAAGAACCGATCGGGTCTTCTCAAAGGAAACCCTGAATTAATGGAGCCCTAGAAGGACTCTCCTAGGCCCTAGAAGGAACGCTTAAAGGATTTCTTAAAGGAACCCTTAAAGGAGCCCTCAAAGGAATCCTGAAAGGATCCCTTGAAGAAACCATTTAACGGATCCCTTAACGGAACCCTTAAAGGATCCCTTGAAGGGATCCTTAAAGGAACCCTTAAAGGAACCCTTAAAGGATCCCTTGAAGGAACCCCTGAAAAAGGACGAACCCTGGGAGCGGTGGAAGAGCGCCCTGGAGCGCGAGCAGCGCTGGACGGTGCCCTCGCGGGATCTCGATGCTTCTCTTAGGGTTTAGGGTTTAGGGTTTTGCTAAACCCTAAACCCTAAACCCTAAACTCAGGGACCTTGTTATTGGGTCCTTAAGGGGTCTGTCTAGGGGCCTAAGTATAAGGTCCTTGGAAGCCTAGGGTTAGTTGGGGATCCCAAAAACCTTCCGTTTAAAGGGTTCTACTTCGAATTACGGGGTCATGACCTGCTGTTTTGTAGGGTTTCGGGTCACAGGTAAACCCTAAACCCTAACAATACGGGTTCAGGGGATTCGGGGATTAGGGTTTTCGGTTTTTTGTGGTTTCAAACCAAAGAGAAGGATCCTCATTTAATAGTCACCCTTCAAAGAAGGATCCTGGATGCGCCGAGGCGCTAATCTGTGAGCCATAGATTCCAACCTTGTCGTTTGCTGCCCAAGGAACTGGACTTAGCACATCAGGGTCCAAAGCTTTCCGATTTACACAAATAGGGATCCAGAGGATTTTGTAAGATCGACAGGGAGTAGTTTAGGTTTCAGGGTTGGGTTGGGGTGAGGACGAAGCATTCTCACATGATTTGTAACGGTCAAGGCTTGAAGGCACTAAGTGGTGGTTGGTTTAGTTGGGACCTGCGGCTGTGGGCATGCCCTGGCCCTCCTTGCTCTTGCTTGCTGGATTCACCATTTTGCTTCGTGAAGATGCTGCAAATCAGAATGCTCTCCGGGGAAGCCGTGACGAGCATACCCGTGGAGGACGTACAGGATGTGAAGGGCTTGAAGCGGCACCTGAATCGGCTGCATTGCCTCCCCCCGCGATTTAGGCAGAGGATTCTCTTCCGTGGCGAGACTTTGAAGGATACTGTCAGGCTGGACTCCGCGATGAACTTGGATCTCGTACTGTTGACATTTGCCGATGTTTCTCAACAGCAGGTAGAAGACCTTGCCGACGCTGCTGAGCAGGGCTCCGTTTCCGAGGTGGGTAGTTTCGAAACAGTATACTTGGAGGGTCATGGGACTCATGGGACTTCTAAAGCGTCCGTAATATCGGCTATGAGTAGTTATAAATTTAGTCACCTTAAAAAGCTACTTCTAAACTGTCCTTCGTTTAGGCTACAGGTTTTAAATAACTTCACTTGAACAAGCAGCTTGTGAGCATCCATGAGGATGCCAGCAGCTGCCCCCCGGGTGCTCAACCCTAGTCCAACAACCACCAGAGCCCTCTATGTTCGGGATGTAGGGCTCTTATCGCTTAGCGATTAGGGGTTTAGGGGTCGGGATTTAGGGTTTTTAGCGCTTCGGGATTTTAGGGTTTAGGGGTTAGGGCTTTAGGGTGTTTTATCGCTTAGGGATTTAGGGTTTAGGGGTTGGGGATTTAGGGGTTTTATCGCTTGGGGATTTAGGGTAGGGATTGAGTGTCTAAGGGTTAGGCATTTAGGGTTTTTTGTTGTTGTGGGATTTAGGTTTCAGGGATTAGGGATTAAATAGGGTTTTTTATCGCTTAGGGATTTGGGGTTTGATTCCGGGTTAGGGATTGAGATTTTTGTTATCGTTTAGGGATTTCGGGTCTGGGGTTCGATGCAGTTACCAAGGCCCCTATGTTAGTTCCTGACATTCGCACTGGGCTCCTCGATCCACACTGAGTACAGCCCTGCAGAGTTACTCTGTGAGTAGTCGGTTTGGGCTGTTGGGGTTCAGGGTTCCGGGTTGGGGGTTGACTGGTTTCCCCTTGAATGCAGGAGGACATGCTTGGAGCTGCACGGGCATGCAGCATAGCCACCATTAATTATTTAGCTGATCGAAAAATTGTGCGAGAATCTGCCGATGTTCCTACAAGTTGCATGTATTCCGTTTTCGTGCCTACAAGAAGATATATTTAATCGCAAAATACACTATAACCCCATAACCTGCGTTTGAATATAGATGAAGGCCCCGGTATTATGCATGTATCAGTAACGGTCCGAAGGTTCGAATCATTCGGTACCTAGAGTTTAGGATAGTAGTTATGTGAGTTAGTCTTTTGGTGACTATAAAATAATTACTTGGACCCTTCGGCTATCTTGCAGTACCCTAAAGCCTAAGAACCTAAACCCGACACCCTAGACCCTGAAACCTAAACCCTAATGCCCTAAACCCTGAACCCCTAAACCCTAAGCCCTAAGCCCTTAAACCCTAAACCCTAAGAGAGGGAAAAACTTAAACCCTAAACCATCTTGCAGCTCACCCACCTTAACTTTGGATGCAGTTTCCCCGCTCAGTCGGGTTGATCGGCTTCCACGCCTTCGATTCTCAAGTGTACGGGTTGAGAGGGTGTAGTGTTTAGGGTTTGGGGGTTTAGGATTTAGGGCTCAGGGCAGTTTGCGGTTTTCCACTGAGCTTCCTTCCGGGTTCGATGCTGTTAAACTTCATCCCATGCCCTGCAGCCCAAAAGCTGAACCAAATTGTCCGGCCAAGACTAATGCAGAAGCTGGCGGAGTTGTTGTCTTATTCGGTACCGGCAACTGTCAAGTTTCCAACATCCCTTCAGGTTGAGTCCATGATGCAGCTGCCCCAAGATCCGGATCTATGCGGCACGAGAGGGCAGCCGGCGTTGACCATCGCCTCCATGCAGGGTCACGTCGAAGTCGCGCGCTTGCTGTTGGAGGCCGGTGCCGACAAGAACTTCCACAACGGCACGACAGCTTTGATGCTGGCTTCTCTGCAAGGTCATGTCGAAGCTGCGCAGTTGCTGGTGGAGGCCAATGCCAACACGGACTTGACTGACAGAAACGGCTTAACTGCTTTGACGATCGCATCTGGGCAAGGTTTTGTTGAAGTCGTGCGTGTGCTGTTGGAGGCTGGTGTCGATAAAGACTTGGCCGCCAACAATGGTGCCACAGCTTTGACGATGGCATCTGATCAAGGCAATGTCGAAATCGTGCACTTGCTGCTGGAGGCTGGTGCGGACAAGAATCTGGTTAGCAATGTGGGCCTGACGGCTTTGATGACGGCATCTGGGCAAGGCCATGTCGAAGTCGTGCGCTTGCTGCTGGAGGCCAGTGCCGACAAGAACTTGTCCTCCCGCAACGGCTCGACAGCTTTGATGCTGGCATCTCTGCAAGGTCATGTCGCTCCCGCGCAGTTGCTGGTGGAGGCCAATGCCAACACAGACTTGACTGACAAACACGGCTTAACTGCTTTGATGATTGCATCTGGGCAAGGTCTTGTTGAAGTCGTGCGTGTGCTGTTGGAGGCTGGTGTCGACAAAGACTTGGCCACCGACAGTGGCTTCACGGCATTGATGGCCGCACTTGGGAGCAGCCAAGCAGGAGTCGTCCGCTTGTTGTTGGATGCTCGTGCCGACACAAACATGGCCGACAACAACGGCTTCACAGCTTTGTCGATCGCATCTGGACAACGTGACTAGGTGGGACTTTGGAAACTTCCCTTACGGTTCCTATAGAGGTACCTATTCATAAATACTTTTCAGGGCCTCAAAGCTACAACACAGGTCATGGTTGAAGTCGCACGCTTGCTGTGGGAGGCCGGTGCCTGCCCAAACTCGGCCCACCCGAGCGGCGTCATTGCTTTGACGATGCATCTGGGAAGGTTTCGGGTTTGGGGTTTAGGGCTTGGGGCTCTGCCGGAGTCTGCGGAGCCTGTGCTCAAAAACCCACTGCCGTGATGCGCAGTCCTGAACCCTAAACCCTAAAACCCTTAAACCCTAAACCCTAAAACCCTAAACCCTAAACCGTGAGCATCGAGCCTCTGCGAATTCCAGGAGGCCCGAGGTTCCGGGTGATGAGCCGGAGCTCCGGTGCAAAATCGCTCACCCGTTCCGTCGTTAGGTAGGGTTTAGGGTTTAGGGTTTAGGGTTTTGGTCAGGTTTCTCCTTAAGCCATGATTACGTAAAAGATCATGGGACCTGAAAACCAGGGCCGGGTTAAACATTAAGGAAACAAGACTAGTAGCTGTTCATTATTAACCCCAATTAACTTCGCCTGTGGCTTGATCTCTTATGATGCCTGCCCTAACCCCTAAATGCTAGCGCGTCTTACAGGTGGGTGAGAGTCAAGGTGGTCAATTCGATTGTGCGTCGCCCCCTTCCTCGGCTGTTTGATTAAAGCTTCGATGTTGTAGGTTTCGGTTTTGTCTGTTTAAGGTCTAGGTTTCAAGGTCGCAAAGCATTGGGGGTTATAGGTTTGAGGGTTTGGGGTTTTGGGTGAGAGGCTTTGGGTGGTGGTATCATGTTTCCTAGATCTGCTACCAGTAGTGGGCCCTGCTTCTTCTGTTCTGTTCTTGGGTTCCCTGTGAAACTACCCCTAAACCCTAAACCCGAAGCCCTAAACCCTAAGCCCTAAGCCCTAAACCCTAAACCCTAAAGCCTAGACCAACAAAGTCGCAGCTCTTTCCCCTAAGTTACTGCAGGTGGGACCTCTTGGGCCTTGTCTCAGGTGCTCCACGCTGTCAGTGGCGTCGCTGTGGAGCTGAAGAGGCCGTGGCTTATTGCTATAGGGTTAAAAGGGTTCAGGGTTTATGGCTTAGGGTTAAAAGGGTTTAGGGTTTCGGGTTTAGGGTTGTGGGTTACAAGGGCTGGTTTGTTGCTTTGGGGTTTCTTTTTGAGGGTTTATGGCCGAACCGTAGATTGCGCTTCGGGCTAAGGGTGTAGAGGCTTATAGGGTTGAGGGATCGGCGCGGGATCCATGACATGACTGTGTGTGTGTGTGGTTGTTCTACTAAAATAAAGCCACAGGATCTTTTTGGGATGGCCTTGCAACAAGGATCCTGGCATTCTGGAATTTTGGCCACCATTCCCGGAACCTGCTTTTGCAAGAGGAGTTTAACAAGTTTAATCTGCATAGGCCCGGAAAGGGGTCTTCGTTTTGAAAGTAGTTTTAAAAGCAGCGAAATTGTCAGAACGCTAGTGGCTTGCGTCGCGGTTGGATACAGGCGAACTGCAAATGTGTAAACAGACGCGCATACCTACATCAATGCGGCTCCAAATCAGGGCTTGCAACAGGCCCTGGCTGGCACGCCCTGCACGAGCGTTTGTCACCGGTGTGCATGACAAAATTGTCCCCATATAGGCGGCACGATAAGGGGCGTTCGGGCCGAACCCTCGTGCAAACTTTGCCAGAAGTACAAGTTGAATCTGTTTCGTCGTCTTTTTATTGACGTGTAAATGTGCTTTTCGTCAGGTGAGCGGTTGATGTAGTCGCACTTGTCCCAAAAATCCGAAGCACCGCTACGTGGGAGAGACTTGCACAAACCAGACTAGCCCTTCTGCTTACAATTCTTATTCTAGAGAAGCTGCACTGTGCAAGTATTCAGGCTCCTGTGTGGTCAACGTAACGTTATTCATTCAGAAAATGTATAGGGTGCAGTCCCTGCTGCTCATTTCTAGTACCCTGTCCATGAGAACAACCCAAGCAGGAAAAACAAACCCCGAACCCTAAACCCCAAACCCTAAACCCTAAACCCATCATATCGTTCCTTATGTAGTTCATCCACAAGCGATTCGCTGCTGGGTGGTCCCATGACTGCTTGCGAAAACCCTAAACCCTAAACCACCCTAAGCGGGTCTTCTGAGCGTCTCAGCAGTCAGAACTTCATGTTGCATCGGGTACTTCCTTTCTTGGATTTACTATCATCGCCTCAACAGGCATAACGGGCTCATGACGGATCTGTCCGGCAGTGGTTTAGGATTTAGATGTCACTATGGGGTATAGGCCTTGCCCAGGGTCAAGGATGTTGGTTTTGGGCTCAGAAAATTGGAACTGCGCGGTTAGGGTTCGTGGGGTTTGGGACGTTTTGGGAATGCGGGAATCTGGCCAGGCAACTTTATGCCCGCCGGCTGGTGCTTCTGTCTGCAGTTGGATGGTACCATACCCTGTATCCATCCCTAGCCTGTACAACGTCCATACTCGGGTCTGTACGGAGACTTCCTAACCTGCTTGTTGTAGGGTCCCTGTGATATCTATATATCAGAGTTTGTATCAGCAAAACCCTAAACCCCTAAACCCTAAACCCCTAAACCCTAAGCCCCTAAACCCTAAACCCTCGAAGGACAGAGTAGGGTCTGCGAGGCAGCGTCAAGTCGACGAATACCGTGACAGACCCCACTGACTGTTTGTGGTTCCTGATCATTCAAAACCAACCGCCAGCTCAAACTTTACTTCATCGTAAACCCCTAATCCTGAATCTACACCCCCTTGGGGATCCCCAAATGCCCGGATCTATGTTCGAACTTGGGCCCTGTGAAGCTCCATGAGGTCTAGGGCTTAGGATTTACATAGGGTTTGGGGCTTCGTGTTGGGATCTTCCTATTCCGGCCGAGTGGTAGGAAAACAGATACCCTCGGCCCTCCTCTCTGAGGGGTTGCCGTGGGACCTAGACAATCCTGATCAAGACTGCTGAATACCGGAGTCCCACAGGCGTCACTAGTGTGCACCCAAAACCGCGGGTGCTGCAAGACCTCCACAAGACGCTACCATTTTGACATTCGGCCGAAACGAAGGCGAGGCAGAGTGTGTGATCATGGCATGGCTGTGGAAATCTGGGGTATTGTCAGATTTAGACTTAGTCTGCAGGTTACTCTGGATGTACATGATTCTGATTGAATAAGAATCCTGTGATTTTGGGGTCTATCAGGAGGTCCTTCGTATCTGAAATTCCCATCTGGTGATTTCTTCCGAGACGGACGTACGTAGACAAAGTTTTTTCGGGCCTCAAAAAACCATGCAATCCAATAGCGTGCACGGTTTTGCTAGCATCACTTTCATCCTCTTTAGTTCTGCGCATGATCATGCCTGTGACCCCACACCTTTCAACATAGGGCTTGTGTGCTCTATAACTTAGGGGGTGACGCGCAGGTCCTTTCTGAAGCATGGACAAAAAGCCGTCACGAAATCACATGCACGTCCGGTTGTCCTATAGCAGGGGCGATGCTTTCTGTAGTTGCGCAACCTTCATATTCCAGCACACCCGCACAGCCATTCTTCTGGGACCAAGGACTCAGCGATGCGGGCCCAGGAGATTTCCTTGACGCAGTGCCTTGCTTTGCATGGTTTACCTTTACTCTCCAACATGCCCGACTCAAGAACTTCTTCATGAAGTCTGTGACTCTATGATCAATCATGCGACTTCTTGGGCAGCCCTTCATATCTTGTAATCAACAAGGAATAATGGACTAAAAGTTGCCAAGCCACTGAAATCTATCAGGCCCCAGGCGCAGGTTTCAGACATTTCGAGCTTTGGATGCCAAGCCCCAAGCTCCAAACCGCCTGAAATTGACGGTTCAGGAGTCGTGGGTCTCGATCGTCCGTTGCTGTGTATGTATGCTTGCTGGTATGTAGGTAGGTACGTCGGTGGGTAGGCGATGTATAATTATATATATATATATATCTGTGTGTGTGTGTGCGCGTGTGTGAGTACGTGTGTATATTTGTGTATGTATGCATGCAGGTGCGCATGTATGTCGGCATGTGTGTACGTGGGTGTAGACGTATAGGCACAACACTTTACCTGGACTCGGGGTAACACAAACGTGGCGCACGAGTTATGGAACGCCATGAGCCCAAATCCTGGCGTCAACTCTGGAGTCGATTCTACCTTATTTTGTTTTAAAAGGCCCTCTAAATAACCCTATGATTCCATCACTTTAACCTTATGCACCCGAAAGCCTTCCTTTAAGGATGAGCTACCCATAGGCCCCTAAGTAGTTCCTTTTTGGGATTACCTTATAGGATTCTAAAAGGGAACTACTTAGGGTCCATAAACCCTAAACCCTAAACCCTAAATATGAATCATAACCCTAAACCCTAAACCCTAAACCCAAAGCAAAACAATATGACTCATGAAAAGGGAACTACTTAGGGGCCTCTGAGCGAAGGCTGGAGGAGGTGGTGGCGGCTGCAGCAGCCCACCAGGTCGACCGGGGCCCCCCAAAAAATCTTATGCCTGCGGGCTCCAAAAACGGGGTCGGGGTTTAGGGTTTAGGGTTTAAGGTTTAGGGTTTAAGGTTTAGGGTTTAAGGTTTAGGGTTTAGGGTTTAGGGTTTATCTGAAGGGTTTCTTATAAAGGGTTTCCTAGGTGTTCTTGAAGGGTTCTGTGTATAGGGTTCCGTTTTTGGGGGTCTCTAAAGGCGTTCTTTATGAAGGGTTTCTGGGGAGCTGGAAGGATTCTCTAAGGCCTATAGGGCCTAAGGATCTTGAAAGGGGCTTGATGGGTTCCTGTGAGGGAGGGTCTCTATTTTTAGGATGTTTATGGTTTTGGTTTAGTGCTGTGCTCATGTTGTCGCTAGGATAACTTCGTGTTGGAAATCTTCATACTTGCGGCAGGTGGATCCTGCATCCGTGGAAAAGGCGCGGGCCGAGATTGACACGGCGAAGCAGCGTTGCCGCGATGCTCAGGCAGCGGGCCAAAAAG